AAGAAGAAGAAGGACAAGAAGAAGGACAAGAAGAAGAAGAAGAAGAAGAAGAAGAAGAAGAAGAAGAAGAAGAAGAAGAAGAAGAAGAAGAAGGACAAGAAGAAGAAGAAGGACAAGAAGAAGAAGGACAAGAAGAAGAAGAAGAAGAAGAAGAAGAAGAAGAAGAAGAAGAAGAAGAAGAAGAAGAAGAAGAAGAAGAAGAAGAAGAAGGACAAGAAGGACAAGAAGAAGAAGAAGAAGAAGAAGAAGAAGAAGAACAAACAGAAAAGACTAAAAAGTTCAAATTGACACATGGAGGCTCGCAAGAGTCAGAGCTGTGGTACCAAAAAATTGGATAAGTTCTATCGATAGTCACTTCTGTTCTCCTAAATTGATTTGTATATGACTCTATTTGCTCTAGAGAGTTAAGACGATCTGTGATTAAAGGAACTTCAAGAAGAACAAGAAGAACAAGAAGAACAAGAAGAAGAAGAAGAAGAAGAAGAAGAAGACACATCACATCTTCCATTAATGCCAAGGTGCAACATGCAGAGCAGTCACAGTGATCTATATCCCGATCTATTATTTATAAAGGTGTAGAAGTCTCTGACAGCATATACACCCACCTCCCTGTAATGCTCAAACAATATGAGATACAGTGCCTCGGCACAAGGCCTGAGCTTATCTTTCCACTGCACCATGTCCTGCTCATGATGAAACCCCTCAGGGTCAATTCCCCAGTCTTGCAAATCTGCTTGTGTCAGGACAAAATACCTGCATCAACACACGGATACACTTTTTCTTACTCTCATCAGATCCATTGCTAAAAGCGCCATTCCATACGCGGCACAGTTATCATGCTTGGTGCTCAGCCCTTTTTGGGTGCCGACGTTACTGCAAACTTACTGATTTAATATTACTGCTTGACTGTCCCAAACCAATAGCAAAGTTCAGCAAACCTGATGCTTGGTTTATATTTCTACCAGCTTTATCAACATGAAATGATCTCACATCTCAGTCAAGTCCTGTGCCCTGGTGCCAGAGTCCCAAAAGTCCCAGCCCAGCAGCCAAAACGCCGATTCATGCCGTAGGTCATTAGAGGTATTAGGTCGTTAGAAGCCCAGTAGGTATAGCATGGTTGAGCAAACTTGATGCTGGCACTATATTTCAACCAGCTTCATCAACATGAAAGGACCTCATGTCTCAGTCAAGTCCTGTGCCCCAGTACCAGAGTACCAATAATCCCAGTCCCAGCCGCCAAAACGCCGATTCAGGCCGTAGGTCATTAGACTAGATGACCTGTTGTGGCTTCACCCGCCAAAAAAAGAAAAGAGAAAAGCACAAATGAAAGAAAAAGCATAATGAACCGTCCTATCATTTGAGCTTCTGTAACAACATGGAGACAGGGCAGCAAGGCTGGGAGAGGGAGTGAGAGCACACACACACGCTCACTCAACTCGACGCAGACTCGACACGACTCGACAGACACAGACACAAAGTGGCAAAGTCACATTCTTGGATTCCTGAACACAATGTCGAAGCATAGTCACACTGAACACAAGCAATGAGGCTGAAAACTGGTTGCCCGTACTGAGCTTGAGTCCGGTTGTAAGTACCGGACTCAAGTTCAGTCCCGAGGGCAGAAGTGCAAATTGCATCAGGGCTGAACTGAAAATCGAAGGTCTGAGTCTGGGCGCCAGAATGCCGGACGGCACCAAGTATTGAAATCCGAAAGTCCCAAAAGAGGAATTTGAGAACGGCCGCCAACTGCAGTGGGCGCCAACAGTCAGGGGCCTGAGAACAGTGACCCAAAAATGAAATAGCAGCCTGGCGAGTGCTAACCCGCAGACCAGGGATCGAGCCCTGTCCCCTCCCTCTGGAAGGCAACATCCCGGCTGCCAAAGACCTGATGAACAACCGTGAAGGACGGGACGGGGCCAATCACTGGTCAGAAAAGGAACGGAGGAGTAATGCAAGTAACAGGGTAATCTTACTGATGTTCTACAAGTGTGAAGGTATCAATGTTTGGGTAACAGGGTAGTTGAGGTGCTACAAGGTTGAAGTAACAGGCAACAGGAAATCAATGCTCAAGTAACAGCGTAATCCTACTGGCAGGGCAGTCCTATTGATGTTCTGCACGGTTGAGGGTAGCAATGTTCAAGTAACAGGGCGATCCTATTGAGGTTCTACAAGTAACAGGGCAGTCCTATTGATGTTCTACAAGGTTATGGGTTGTCAGGTTTGAGAAAAATAAAAATAAAATAGTCTGTTCAATGCTCAAGGGTTGGGGTGTCTGAGGAATCTGGGGAAAACAAAGTCTCAGGTCTGTAACAAAGTGTCAAAATGCAAAAAATGTCGCGAGGAAGGTCGTTGGAGGTCTTGATCAGATCCAGGATAGGTGAGAGAACCTGTCTTCAGCGGCTGCAACAGGTAGTTGTCGAATGTCCAAGCTGCGGGAAAGCGAAGTACGAGTACAAGCGTCCAAAGACCAAGAGCTGGAGTGTGTCCGGTTCATGAACTGCAAGGAGGTCTGATCCGGTAGCAAGAAATCGCAGACTGATGCAAAAGTCCAGATTACATGCTGCTGCTCCAGTAAGTCCACGAGTCCAGATGCCGGCCAATGAAACAGCATGTTGGCCAAACCAGCTGCATTATCTTCATGATCATGAAGCAGCAGGTCATCGTCCGCTTGCCATTAGATCCTTTATCGTCGGCGTCACGCAGGTCCACAACCATTGGTCATGAGAGACAGAGAGTGTGGTAGAGGACAGATGGGAAGGACTAGGCTGAGGCAAAGGCGGATCAGACAGCGAGATCTCAAGATAAGGGGTAGGGGTTAGGCTGGGTTCAGGGGTGGTGTGTGTAGAGTAGGCATGTACAGGTCGAGGCATAGGCGAGTAGATAGCTATGAGACAGGGTGGGTACGATCATAGGCACAAGCGAGTTTCATGGTGTTCTTTAGATTTGCAAGGGGTTCAATGATGATTCTTCGTCTGGGTATCCCGTCCATTTTACTTTGTATTATGTGATAGGCTGGGGGTGGTTGTATACTGGAGTTGTTCTACGGCCTATGATTGACTCCACAGAGAATTCATGACCGGTGGGAAGCATGATAGGTGCTGGACGAGGATGAGGGCGATCAGAGAACTGAGGAGGTGATTTGTGAAATTCTCTCAAGTATTCTACATGGAAGACAGGATGGACGCGATTCATGTCAGGAGGGAGTTGGAGCTTGTAATTTACAGCGGATGTTTTTTCAATGATGGGGAATGGACCGAGCCACTTGTTCGAGAGTTTCTTGGACAAGCCTTGTACAGGATCAAAGCGTTTGGCGGAGAGCCGAACTTTGTCCCCAACATGGAAAGTGACATCACGACGATGTTTGTCCGTTTGCTTGGCTTGTTGTTCCTGAGTTCGTTGAATAGATTCGGTGGCTTCTCTTAGGAAGCGGTTCATTGTGGCAACCCATTCATTGAGAGAGGGACAGGGAGTGGATGGGTTGAACTGCGAGGGGAGCAAGAAGTCAGAGGGCAAGCGAGGATGGTAGCCAAGGTCAAGGTAGAAAGGAGACATGCCGGTGGAGGGGCAGACAGCGTTGTTGTAGGCAATCTCAGCAGCAGAAAGGAGCTGGTCCCGTATTCCTTGAAGAGATTTCTCCAAAAGTGTGAGAGGAATCGGGAGTCACGATCGCTGATGATGTTTTCTGGGAGACCATGATGACGGGTGACGTGGTCGAAGAAGAGTTTGGCGACTTCCTCGGCTTGGCAGGTAGTGGTGCAAGGGATGAAATGGGCGTGCTTGGTAAGGCGGCAGAGAACGACATAGATGCAATCGTGACCATGGTCGGTCGTGGGGAGACCACATATGAAGTCCATGGACACAAATTGCCAGTGGTGGTTGGGTATGGGGAGAGACTGGAATTTGCCGCCCTTAGCTTGGTTGGAGGGATTGACGGCTTGGCAAGTAGTGAAAGAGCGGATGTAGGCTTCGACGTCGGCAAGGAGCGAGGGCAAGTAGAGGTAACAACAGTCTTGAAGTCGTGGTGTTCAACAAAGAATTGGGTACGACGACCACGGATAGAAGGGATGCGAAGGCGACAAGTTCCTTTGGTGTCGATGTAGAGGAGATGGTCGATGCAGGAGTAGTCAGGAACAGTGTCAAGGTCACAGAGTTTGGCGTAGGTAATGGCAAAGTCGGGGCAGGAGGTGTAGCCATGGATGAAGCGATGTTAGAGAGATTGGGGGAGGTTGACATGTGTCATGGCATCAAAGACTTTCTCAGGGGGCTTATGACCGGGTCGGCGAAAGAGGGCATTGGCAACACGATTGGTCTTGCCGAGAGTATGTCAGATGGTGAAGGAAAACTGGACGAGAAAGTCCAGCCAGCGGGCCTGACAAGGGGTGATATCCTTTTTGGAGAGGATATCGGAGACGACGGTGTTGTCGGTGCGAATGGTGAAGTACTGGCCATCGAGGTAAGGGCGCCAGACTTTAAGGGCATAGATGAAGGCGAGGAGTTCCTTCTCATTGGAGGGATAATTTATCTCAGCAGCGATGAGCTTCTTACTCGCGAATGCCATAGGGTACTCGTCGGGAGGTGCTGCGAACGCGTGAGGGAATATTTGATAGTGAGAGGTCACGAGGGAAATATTGGGATAGAACGGCGCCAAGGGCAAACTCCGAAGCGTCTGTGGTGATGTAGAAGTGGCGAGAAGGGTCAGCGATCTTGAGAACAAGGGCAGTAGTGATGAGGTGTTTGAGTTTGTCGAAGGCGGCTTGGCGGCGTTCAGTCCATGTGAAGGACTCAATGGTGCGGGTGAGCTCATGGAGTGGATAGGCGGTGTCGGAGAAGTTTTGAATGAAGGGGCGGTGGTAGTTAGTGAGTCCAATGAATGACCGAAATTGGAGCAAGGTGCTGGGAGGTGGGAACTCAATGAGGGCGGCGACCTTCGAGGTGTCCATGCGGATACCGCCAGCAAGGACAATGTAGCCAAGGTAGTCCACGCTTGAGGCCGCAAAAGTGCATTTGCTAAGCTTAGCGTAGAACTTTTGCTCACAGAGGATGGAAAGTGCTTCTCGATGTGCTGAAGATGCGACTCGAAGGTGGGACTGAGGACAAGGATGTCGTCGAGGTAGATCACGACACAGACTTCGAGGAGATTGCGGAAGACGTGGTTCATGGCGGATTGGAAGGTCGCTGGGGCATTTGTGAGGCCGAAAGGCATCACTAGGAACTCATAATGCCCGAAGCGAGAGCGACAGGTGGTCTTATGGGTATCTTCCTCGTGAATACGAATATGGTGGAAGCCACTGCGGAGGTCTTGGTGAAGTATTTGGCTCCACGGAGGCGATCAAGAAGTTCAGATATCCGGGGGAGTGGATACTTATTCTTGATCGTGATCCGGTTCAAGGCGCGATAGTCTGTGCACATACGGAGCTCCGAGGGCAACTGATTCCGAAGGGGGATGAGTTAGGCTTAATGAATCCTTTTTCAAGGAGTTCATTGAGTTGGCGCTTCATCTCTTCGGCCTCGGGGACAGAAAGCTGGTATCGAGGGCGACAAGGAAGGGAATGGTCAGGTTCGAGATCGATGGTGTGAAATACACCGCAATCGTGTGGCAAGCTGGCAAGCAAGGACTCGAGGAAGACATTCTTGAATTCTGAGAGGAGAGAGGTGATGCGAGGGTCGGATAGGGGGGCTTGGTCGGTTTGTCCATTGGACTCAAGTCCTCAGGACGCTCACGGTCGATGACGAGGCAATAGTAGGTAGAGTCAGGGTGTTGGCGAGACATGTGGAGGAATTGGTGGGGGGGAACGAGGGGTGGGGTGGTAGGGGGGAGAATGTAAGGGATGTCAACGGTAGAATTCAGAGTAGACGAGAGGCGGATAAAGGAGGGTTGGAAAGAGTAGGGCATGTAAAGATCGATCCCGATAGTTCCCAGGACGACGTCGCACATGAGGTGCATGCCGTCAAAGGAGATATGACTGCGGAGGGAGCCGACAATCATGGTGACCTCAGGAACTATGATGGCTGAGTCCTTGTCCCCTAAGCGAATGGTGATCGGGGAGTCGTAGCCGGTTGAGGGGAGACTGACTTTGCAAACGCAGGCGTCGATAATGAAGTTGTCGTTAGCCCCGCCATCGAGGAGGGCCCGTAACTTCACTGTCGATGCGCCAAGGGAGATGGATATGAAATTGAGCTGGAACTCGGCGGTTCCAGCACAAGCGTCGGAGATCATATTGTTGAGGTGGCGATGTTTGGTGCCTAGTCTGACAAGTCGTGTCGTGCTTGTTCCTCAACCACATCGGAGAAGGTGATGTGAGAGGGATTAGGGAGAAGAATAGAGGAACACGTGCCAGCGATGAGCTCAACAACCGGGGTGAGAGACATCGTCGAGAGCGGGGCAGGCGGAGTAAACTGCGACGCCAGAGTGTCATCCGGTGGGGTGTGTGTCACCAGAGGTGGGGGTGGTAGACGGATCATTGATGCCAATACAGGGGCCGGTTGACTAGTTGTCGATGCTGGGGCGCGGTCACGAGAGGCAAGGGGACGGTGTTCATATGTCGAAAGGTCCCCATGTCGCAGATTGTGGGGTGGCGGATACGACGGGCCGAGGTCCCGTGGAGCGGGGAGCCTGTCGAGTGAACTAGCTAGCATTGGGCCAGCTGGTTTGCTGGTGGCCCAACTGACGACACCGGAAACAGCCATTGCTGGTTTGGAGATAGGCACGTTCCTCCGGGGTGAGCTTCGTTAAGCGAGGGGGCGAGGTGGAAGAAGATGCACGTGCCTGGCGGTTCCCGCGCTCCATCCTGAGGATATGGATGGCGTTGACTTCTTCCTGGGTGAAAGATGGGGGGTCGGTAGAAGTGGACTCGGTGTCGGAGTCGAGTGTGGAGAACTCATCCGACATCGTGGTGTTGAGGGTGTCGTCCGAAGCAATGTTGTGGAAGAAATGTGTTCGGGAAGGGACACAAGGGATGGCCGCCTTGTGAGTTGAAAGGAGACTGTCGATTTGGAGAATGCGGGATAGGAGATCGGATAAGGTTGTGGTGGCCTCACGGACAAGGACGGCAGTGATTTCGCAGTTGGAAACCCGCTTCAGGTGGGAGATGAAAATGTCGTCGGCGATCAGGTGGACGAGAATATGCTATCGTAGTGAGCGAACATATTGGACGTAGCGGTCGGTGGGGCCATTTTGGCAAAAGGCAACAAAATTGGTCGATGTAATCATCGATAGTCTTTTGTGGGCGAAAGGTGGCTGTGATCGTTGTAGCCCACTCTAGGAAGGAGTGTGAGGGTTCGCCGCTGAGTTGGCGGTTAGCGACTTCGGTGAGCCACCAGCGGGCGACGTTGGCAAGGAGTCGTGTACCGGTTGTGGGTAGCCAGTGGATGACGGGGACGGTGTGGAGATAGAAAGCTTGTTGGAGTTGGCTGAGAAATAGACATAAATCTTCATTGGGCTTACTAGAAAAGGTAGGAATGTCGTGGGCCCGGAATGTGAAAGGAATTTCGCCATAACTACGGACGTGGGTAGCAAGTGCGTTGAAGTCGAGCGTGGGTGAGGCGTCAACAATGAGGGTGAAGTCATGTTGGAGGTTTGTTGGAAGGAGGGCATTCGGGGGATGTTGGGGGAGAGCGGGGTGTGACATGGGGGTGATCTGGGAGTACGTGGGCATCTGGAGGGAGGTGACGATGGATGAGGTAAAGATGGGTTGTGAGAGGGGATGTGTGGGTACGGATTGGGTGTCGAGGGCATGGTGCGGCAATTGGGCAATGAGAGGGGTGGAAGAGGGAGTAGGTGGGTGGGACCCACCGGTGGTGACCATTGGGATGGGGTGGTAGACGCTGGGGTGGCGGATGGACCGATGGAGGAAGTGGAGATAGAAGCGGTGGAGGTGGGGGTGGCGAATGGACCAGCGGTGGAAGTGGAGGTGGGAGTGGGAGTGGGGAGAGGAGGACGTGGGGCCAGACTAGAACCCGACGTGGAAGTGGGAATCGTGGTGGTGACCATTGGGATGGAAGGGGTTGATGTTTGTGCCATGTTATCTATCCGGCTGGAGAGGCCGAAGATGGAGGTTGCGAAGGAGGATTGGAGGGCACGGATGGTGTCTTGCATGGATTGCATCATGGTGAGCAGGGAGATGGTGGTGGCGGTGGCTTCAGTTGTGGGTTGTTCTGCCGTGAAGTCCCGAAGCAAGCTGTCTATAGATGCGGTGTCAATGCCGCTCATGTTGATGGTCAAGGAACCATTTGCCATTGTGGAGGGAGAGGCCGGGGGCGAGAAGTAGCGGTGGAGGCGGCAGCTGCAGCGGCGTTCTCAGCAGCCCAGGCGACGACACGCAAAGAATTCTTTGTGCGGCGGGGCATGAAAGGGAAGAAGATGTGTAATTTTGCCAGTTTTTTTGTATTTAATTGAATTTTTAACTTGGCTACCAGCCGGGCCGCCCGGGTCCCGGGTGGCCTGCCTGTGCAGGGACTCGGCAAAAAAAAAAAAAANGCTATGCAGAAAAATAAACTGAACAACTTTTGCCACAGAGTCACATCGAAATTCTTTACCAAATTTAAAAAAAAAAAAAAAAACTATATATATATTGTCACAAACAGAACTGCCCGGTAAACCGTAGGCAGAGAGAGAGAAGAGGACAACAAACGAGGGGCTGTGACAAACTGTTTCGTCGGAGTTTCACCGACTCATCAGGAGGTATATATACAGGGTCACCAGCCCGTACGTACGGAGGTCCCCGGGCCGACCTCCGTACGTACGGGCGTTCAGGGTCCCGTACGGGGTCTGAACCCGACGACATTCGACCCCCGCCAAAAAATATTTCGGGGCCTAAAAGTAAGTTTTTCTTCTGAATTTTTTTTTGCGAGTTCTCTATGATGCGAGGTACATGCCTATAAATTTTGAAGTCATTTTGCTAAGCCAAACAGATATTAAAAATCATATGGCGGTGTCAAAACGTGCTCGCCCACTAACTATTTCGTTTTTTTTTCACTTTTTTTATTGTTTTCACTTTATTGCGGGGCCTAAACAAATTTATTATTTTTTGAAACCTTTTTTAATCAGTTTTTTATTATGTGAAGTACACATCTATAAATTTTCAGGTCATTTGGCTGTGCCAAAAAAATTAAAAACTCCAAAGATGGCGGTGTCGAAAACGTGCCCACTCACTCGCTAATTTTAATTCTCTTTTCATTTTTCTTATTTTTGATATTAGTTTCATTTTCTGTATTTTGTTTTTATTTCAAATTTGGTAAGTTATTTGGATGTAATGCTCAGGCAAATGTTGTTTATTTTATTTTTCTTCATAACATATCTTTTTTACAGATTTTTTTTGGTTTTTTTTTTTTTTTTTTTTTTTTTTTTTTTTTTTTTTTTTTTTTTTTTTTTTTTTTTTTTTTTTTTTTTTTTTGGGTCCGCGTTCGGTCCAAACGGCCAACCGCATCCCCAAGGTGTCCCATACGTTCGGGCGTTCGGGTTCTCGGGCGTTCGGCCCGTCCCAAACGCCAGTTACCCTGTATATATCGTCACAAACAGAACTGCCCGGTAAACCGCAGGCAGAAAGAGAGAAGAGGACAACAAACGATTTTTATTTTTATTTTTATTTTTTGGCCCCGCCGGGCAAGTGACCCCAGGCCACTCTGGTAGCCTAGATTTTTAATGCATTTTTTTTTAAATGGAAAAATTCAAAAAATTGTGGGGGAATTAGGGTCTCGTTAGACACTCCTAAAAGTTCCTGTTCTTAGGATTGCGTCTTGGTTGCACGCAGTCCTAAATGGGACGCTGGAATCGAAAATGTGAAAACGGCGTTAGGACTCGTCCTAAAAGATTTAGGATTCCCCAGCCAAATCGTCCTAAATTTTCCAATAGCCCCGGACCTACTGAAAAATTTAGGATTCCCGCATTTCACGGAGTCGTCGCATCGTGAGAATGTCACCGTCGACACGGAGGAGCTGGTCCAGGAGAGGTCCATCGGGCCGGTGGGCGTGCATCGGAGGTTTTCTGGCGGTCGACGACGGCAACGGCCCCCCCCGGTAGCCGTTGGACGCTGGGGTGGAGCAGGTGGGGCGAAGCGTGGCCAGGCGGGCGGCCGTTGCAGACCGTTGGCTCGGGTGCAGGCAACGGAGGAGTTCCCAGACGCCTGCACGACGACACACGGAGGCGGCGTGGGCGCCAACGGTCAGTTTTTGAATCGGAGGCGCCAACGTTTGTCGTCTTCGCTGGCGGTCGACGGCATATGAAGGTCCAGCGGCCTTGTCCGCGGGCATGCAAGGAGAAAGTTCAGCAGGACGTCACGTGCAAGGTCGCCTCTCGACGTCGAATTCATGGCAGATATGCAGAGGAGATTGCCTCTGCTGCTGCTCGTGGTGGTCGTCTTCCTCTTTGTCGTCTTCCTCCACGTGTGCTTGTCGTGCCGGCCGTGGAAGCAACGTCGAAAGCGCAGGGCGTCGACGAAACGCGCTGTGCTTCAAGAGGAACGTCCCATGGCAGGCATGAAGGCACGCGCTATTCTGCTTGCAGCTGAGGGCGGAAGAAGACCTGCGACGACGGAGCCTTCACGGCGGTACGACCCGTCCATGTACAGCCATCTGCCGTCGTGGGAGACGCCGCTGCTTCCCTCGGACGAGGAGCCAGAGGGGGATGAACTTCCAACGTTTCCTCTCGCCAGCGGGTCGACGCAGCCGTTGTCGCAGACGGTGCTCGTACGCGGGGCGACGAGCAACGAACGAGGCGAGTACAAGTCACTCCTGCAGCAAGGGTTGGGAGACGACGACGACGGGGGAGTTGATCTCCGGTTCGGCTTGAGTTCTGGCGGTGCTAGGGAGGCGAGCCGCACGGTCATCACCGCCGCCCATGCTTCCGCACGTGGCCTGCAGCAGCCTCGAAGGGAGCAGACGGGACCTTCCACAGTACGTGGCGGCGCGTCTGTCGTTGGCGGTGTCGGGTCTTTGCCAGCAGCCCAGCAGCATGTATCGAGTGCGCCGTCCGGGGAATGATTGACGGATAACTGGGACGTGCGCACTGCTGCCGCAGCAGCATCCCTACGCACCAGCGGTGCACGCTCGTCAATGCTGAACCGAACAACGGCCTCGCCACCCGAAGGGAGGGACGAGGGCGCCTGCAGACCACCGACGGGTTCAGGAACCAGTGTGGAGAACATCACTCGAGGCGTGTCGAACATGCGGGCACACAGCGATGGCGGCGACGACAATGGCTGTGGCGGTGACGATGTCGACGACGGATTCAGGGAGGAAGTCGAAGCGGGGGACGACGACAACGACAATGCTGTTCGGCCTGTGGGGAAGACGGGTGGTAGGGGTATTGGACGCAGCAACCGTGGTGGCCGTGGTCGATCCGTTGGCCGTGGCAGCAGAGGTGGCGTCACCGACGACGGAGGGAAGTCTGCGACGTACTGGTCGACGGACGAGCAGATGCTCCTCGTCAGATGCAAGCGGGAGCAGGAGATTCACATCGATGGGCTGGGCCACGATTACGGCCGGATGCGAACGAAGGAGTGGAAGTGGGTCGACATTGCGAAGCGCATGGCGAACGGTGGGAGCCCTAAAGACGCAGACGACTGCATGAAGAAATGGGACAATTTGTTCCAAAACTACAAGAAGATACAGAGGTTTCAGAACGCGAGCGGGCGGCCAGATTTCTTCAAGTTGTCCAACGACGAAAGGAAGGAGCACAACTTCAAGTTCCGGATGGAGAGGGTGCTGTACAACGAGATCCACTCCGGCATGTTGGGGAACCATATTATTTTCCCTCCCAACATCGCCGACACCGGCAGTCCGGACGGGGTGCAGCTGCCCAGGAGAGGAGCGGGTGGTGGGGAGTCTGTTGATAGTGAGGGCGATGGTGACGGCTGCCCTGAAGAAAGATCTTCTGCAAGGGACTCCGACGTGAACGCTTGCAGTGTTGCCGGAGGCGGGAAGCGTAAGAATGCGCGCCAACAGGCGCTGGAGTCCATCGCTGATGTCATGGACCGCCATGGCGAACTGATGTCGTTGACGATTGAATCGTCCAGCAAACGGCAACATTTCATCGAGGCGGTGCGACATACAAGAACGGCAGTGCGACATACTCGCGCAGGAAGTAGCGGTCCAAAAAGCGCACTATGCGGCGTCCGACGAGACGCAGAGGATGATGTGTCACGCACTTCTGGAGATCGCTGCCGCCATCCGTGGTCGTTCGACGATGTAGCACATCAAATCGTTTCTTGATTACGTTGCTGCCATTGCGGTCGGTGTAGACATGAAGATTGTTTTTTTGTTTTGTTATTTTTTTTTATTTTATATGTCGGTTTCTTCTGCGTAAGATGATGGAGGCAGACCGCACGATATGATTCTGCTTGCAAAATGGTTGCCACAAATGAGGGGGGCCGTCTGCGCTGGATTTGCCGCATTTCGTGGCGTCAATCGTTGTATTGATGAAAAAGTGTGTGTGTGTGTGTGTAATTCTTTTATTTTATTTTTTTCTCATCTTTCACATGACGAGACTGCTTCGTCTACAGGGG